CTCAGCAGCTGTGCTGTGGAAAATTCATGGTTTCTAACTGTCCACACCTTAACTGATTAAGAAGAGAATATGGTATCTATCAATCTCATTTTTTATAATGACCCATAAAAGTGGAATTTCCAGGTTAAATGTATATAAGATGAATTTGGGAATCCTCAGCATAGAGTTAGAGCCTGGTAGAGGAAGAGTGAGACTGCTCAAATCTCTGTGGAGATCTGAAGTCAGAGAGATGGTCCAGGCAGAGGAGCAGGACACCATAGCACCTAGCAGGAATCTTGGCTAAAAAAGGCCCAGACCAGGCTGCCTCATCCATCAGTGAGTTCTAAGGAAAGTGTCACACACTCCACACTGGACAGGAGAGAGCTGGAATGGTTTCAGAGCTCCTCCCTACATGCCTGAGGCCCCCTGTCTCAATCAGGGGAGCTCTGTATGAGGTCAGTCTCTTAGAGAACACAACTTGACTGAATGTTTTCCACCTAGGTACAGATCTGAACTGCCACATGTGGACTCACCGTAGCTATGGAGCAGGACAGGTGTTTACAGGGAGCAGGTCAGGAGTTGGGGACACTGCAGGCAGGTCAGGGTAAGAAGCCTTAAATAAGAGACCAGGCCCTCACCAAGCCCAGTTTCCTCCGGCAGTAATCACACCATGCAAGAATGTGCATTGAATCTGAGTAACTGAAAGGGGTTACTCACAAAATTATATATTATAGAGATAGTTTGAAGATACAAAAGTAAATGGTAGCATCCATAGGTAAAATGAGATGTGACCTTTAATGGATATGTGGTGTCCATTGATGTCCCCGAACCACATGCATCAGGAGGAAATAGTCTGATGAACAGAGCAATAAGGAGCACAGACAATGGGTAAACATAACAGCTGCTTAATAACAACAACAAAGCTAGGATACACTAAGTGCACTGGTGAATTTTATTCAGTATATAATAAAGAATAAATACTGATTGTTTTTCAATTCTTTGATCAAGTTGAAGGAAAAACCACCACCAACTTCTTTTAAGTGACAAAGTTAAAGTTATCCTGAGAATGAAGCCAGACAATAATGTGTTAAAAATAATATAAATGAAAACACTCTGTTGGCTAATATTCTTACCAAACATACACAAAAGTGTTCAACTAAATGTTTGCAACGTTAAATCACCAGCATATTCAAAATTAACCAACATGATGAACCCTGGGCTGAATCTCAGTGGTGCAAGAATGGTCCCTCTCTCACAAACTCTCTGTTTCCACTGCTTTTAACATGTTGTATCTTACTATGTTTTACTATATGCGATAGTATTAAGAAAAAATTTTATAGGCAAGGAGATAATATAGAAACCATTGTTCATTTTCTGTTAACTGGTTCTAAATACCCTGTAATACTTTCATTCTGTTGAATGGCTTCACACTGTCTTGATATGCTTGATGCTATCATATATGAAGTTATACTCAAATAATTCAAGGAATGAGGCACTATGGTGACTATTATGTTAGATTATCTGGGAGTGAAACATAATTATGCTTAAATTGTTCCCTTCTGACCAGTGTTGTTCTATTACAATGTCCTCTTTTATCTCAATCTCCACCCTTTTTTAAAAATTAAACTATTTTTTTATTTTTTTCAATTAAGGGAAAACTAAATTTTAAAAAAGTGGGATATATTATAGTAACTATTTGTTTTCCTATTAACCTGATTTGAATGCCAATATTGCTATCCACATCTTGTTCTGTCTGAATTTACTATATTCTATTTTGTATGATAGTATCAAGTTTGAGGGTATAGGCAACCACTTTGAAGGCAATAAGATTTATTATGATGCCCATTATAGTTTGACTATTATCTTCTTTTGAAGTCTTGCAAGGTTTACAGTGTAGGTTTTATTGGTCTTGTTCTGTACAGTTTTGATCAATTCTATTATACCTGATGATATAGCAACTCTTTTTAAAAATAGCAAGAGGCACAATGGTAACGAGTTTTGATCATCTGATATTCTATTTTTGCATCATGTACTATGCCCATCCTTCTGTTCTAACTGACTCTGTTTTATTTAGTCATGTTAGGATTTATTCTCTTCTAAAAATTTAATAAGAACTGTGGGAGTAAAAAAAAACTCAAAACATGTAATTGTTATTGTAAAAAAGAGAGGAAAAGAGGGTGGTCTAAGGGATATAACTGCATGCTTGAGTGTGTAGGATGGAAAACCATATTACTTAGCTTTTGTTGGATCACTGAACAGATGTTTCTGCAATCTCACTGTATGAATGTCCACTTTATATGCTTTAATTTTATAATTTGGACAATTGTTTCTAAGATGACAATATGTAACCTATTAACTGTGATTTCTTACTGTATTTTTTCTTGAAATTCTGTATTACTTGTACCCTTTTACTGCTTTTTTATTTCCTTTCTTTTGTCTCTTTAATTAAAAAAATAATCAAACCTGGAATGGATATCTTTTACTTATTTATTTTTTTGGCTCTGGAGATCAAACTCATGACCTCACACTTGCCAGGCAGGTGCTTAAGCCACTCAGCTAAATCCCCAGCCCACCAATGGATATCTTTTACATCTTGTCATCTTCACAGTAGTTGCCTCTTCTCTTGAACTTGATACCAGCAAGCACACCAAATGTGAATAGAATCAGTCAAGGCCAAATAACATTCAAACAAACCAGCTTAAAATAAGATCAGTCATAGTAAGACAATGTTACTAATACAGGGTTTCAGTTTTAGTTAATAGGAAATTAAGGACAATTACCATCATGGTATAACCTGCCATTTTTGGGTTATCTCTCTGTGCCCTCAATTCTAATATGAGTAGACAGACCAGAACAAAATATAATCAAACTAAACAGAGCAACAGAACTACTGTAGCTTTTAAATCCTAATACACTTTTAACAATGTCCTCTGCCTTCTTTTTTTAGGCAATTCCTCACCTTTCTCCTTCTCAGGATACTATTATTCACTGTTCAGAGTGATATTAGTCCAGTCTCTTATGTTCCATTTCAGCATACATAAAGATAAAGACAGCTACTTCAAAGACAATGAAAGACATTATGGTAGTCATTATCAACTTCCCGAAAATCAGTCTTGAAGATCAAAAAAGCCTGCATCATCCTGTAATTATTTGATTAGTTCTATAATATTCAGTATATATTCAATGTGTGTGAGGATGGGAACAACTATTTGGAAGAAAACTAGAGACAGTAAGATAGACAGTGAACATTTCCAGTGGACTTGTTTTGAAATCTGTGTTTCCTTCTGTTCTGCTCTGTTTTGCCATGTTTAATCTTACCCTTTTTAAGAAAAAAAAGTGTGTAGGACAGATGGCATATTAATAACTTTTTGGTGGATCATTGAGGTGAACTGTTGTCAGTGTCATTATTTGAATATCACTTTGTATGCTTTAAATTTGTAACTTGAACAACTACTTCTAAGATGACAATATGATACTAATCAACTAGTGATTTCTTATGGTTTATTTTTCTGAAATTCTATATTATTACTACACTTTTTTCTCTTTAAATAAACATTACAATTCACCAAAAAATATAAAATTTAAGTTTTAAAGAAAAAATATTAAGTACATAGGCCCTATCCATACTTGAAAGTGAAAAGCCCATTTCAGTTTAGCATGTTTAATTACAAGATGCCATGTTGAAGCACAAAAACACTTTAAAAAATCTAGAGAGGTACAAGGGATTAACTGAAAATCATAAAACATATGCAATTGAGTAGAGCTCCACCTCAGATTTGTCATTTCTGGAATATTTGTGAAGAAATATTGACATCTAACTTCTGTATTGATTATTTCTTCAGGTCTCCTTGGGATTTTTAAAGTAAACTTAGATCTAAACTGTCTGAACAGTGATGCTTTTTCTATGCATTTAACAAAAACATGGATTGCTATATTTCTCACATTGTTAGTCCACATAGAATCTCTGCCCAGTGAGCTCTTTCAGATATGTAACAATGATCAAGTATGCTGAGAGTATTCCCATAACACATAGGATTTATCTCTTGTGTGAGTTTTTTCATGTATTTCACTTACAATCTGGCTGATGAAAGTGTCTCCACTTGCTTACATAGCAGTGGTTCTTCTCAGTTTGAATTCTTTCATGTGTTTTGCAATGACTATATGCAGTAAAAGCTTTGCCACATTGTTATATACATAGGCTTTCTTACCAGTGTGAACTCATTGATGTATTTTAAAAAATCCATATGTGGTGAAAGCTTTCCCACATTCTTCACATACACAGGGTTTCTTAACCAAGTAAATTTTATAATGTATTGGACAATGAGCATTTCTGCTGAAACCTTTCCCACATTCCTTACATATGTTAGTTTTCTGCCCAGTGTGAAGATTTTCATGCATTATGCAATATGTATGTGTGCTGAAACCATTCTCATGATGCTTATATACACTGGTTTTATATTGAATGTAAACTTTCATGTTTCTTACAATCTTCATGTGTTTTAAAAGCTTTCCCACATTGCTTACATACATATGGTTTCTCTCCAGTGTGAATTCTTTCATGAACCTTACAATTTGCACGTTTGTTAAAAGCTTTCCCACATTGCTTACATACATATGGTTTCTCTCCAGTGTGAATTCTTTCATGTTTCTTACAGTCTCCCCATGTGTTAAAAGCTTTCCCACATTGCTTACATACATAGGGTTTCTCTCCAGTATGAATTCTTTCATGAACCTTATAACTTACACGTGAGTTAAAAGCTTTCCCACATTGCTTACATACATATGGTTTCTCTCCAGTGTGAATTCTTTCATGAACCTTATAACTTGCACGTGAGTTAAAAGCTTTCCCACATTGCTTACATACATATGGTTTCTCTCCAGTATGAATTCTTTCATGAACCTTATAACTTGCACATGAGTTAAAAGCTTTCCCACATTGCTTACATACATATGGTTTCTCTCCAGTGTGAATTCTTTCATGTTCCTTACAACATCCAGGTCTGGTAAAAGCTTTCCCACATTGCTTACATACATAGGGTTTCTCTCCAGTGTGAATTCTTTCATGTTTCTTACAGTCTCCCCGTGTATTAAAAGCTTTCCCACATTGCTTACATACATATGGTTTCTCTCCAGTGTGAATTCTTTAATGTTCCTTACAATGTCCAAGTTGGGTGAAACCTTTTCCACATTGCTTACACACATAGGGTTTCTCTCCAGTGTGAACATTTTTATGTATTTGAAAATGAATTTTCCTGATAAAAGCTTTCCCACATTTCTTACATATATGCGATTTCTGCCCAGTGTGAATTTTTTCATGGATTACACAATAAGTACATGTGCTGAAAGCTTTCTCACAGTGCTTACATTCATAACGTTTTTCTCCAGATTGAAGACTTTCATGTACTTGACAATACGTATGTGTTGTAAAAGCTTTCCCACACTCCTTACATATGTAGGGTCTCTCTCCTCTGTGAATTATTTCGTGTTTCTTACAAATTCCATGTGTAGTAAAACCATTCCCGCATTGCTTGCATACATAGGGTTTCCCTCCACTGCAATATTTTTCATGGATCTGAACATTGTGGTGTGTTTCTGTTTCTTTCACATTCACATTACCTCCTGCAGTACAAAGGAAGACTTCTTTACACTGATTCCAAGATGTATGTCCATAAGATTTCCCTAGCTTGTCATTTCTGTAAAGAAAAAAAAAATCACATATAGGATTTATAAGCATATTACTAAGTTTTTCTTGGAGAGTTGAACAAAACTGCATTCTCACTGTTTGAATCTCCACTTCATATGTTTCACTTTTGTATTTCATAACTATTTCTATGAACAGCATATGTAATCATCATCTTGCGATTTCTTACTCTTTATTTTCACTTTGAAAGCAATATTGTTTCTACTTATTTTGTCTAATTTAATTTTCCTTATATTAAATTTAAAAAAAAGAAAAATTTACAGTGAAATGGGTCTCCATGTAATGACTGCATTAATATCAAGTTCTGTTTTTAATGGCTGCTAAGAAATTCTGACTATGAAGCAACAGAATAGCCTTGTAAGATATGTTGAAAACAACCATTCCCAAAAGACTGGTACACATTTGGAAATCTTAAAAATTGGTACTTTGAAATGCAGAATCTTTAGCTTCACTTTGGGCATGGGTACATATGTGTATCACATGCAGATTATTCTCATATGTTTCCCTATCACAATCTCCCTTCTGTCCTTAACCTGTAGTTCCCTTTTCCATACGGTCAGTCTTACTTTTCTCTAACAACTCTGTTTAATTTCATTCCACATTTTGTATTTTGGTTTCTCATCTAAAATAAACCCTGTGACCTTTTAGGTTTTATAGCTGAGCCATTTCACTGAATTGATGGGTGAAAGACCCATCTAATTCTTATGGAAAATGACATTATATTATTTATTTTTTGACATTATATAACACATTTTTTTCTTTTCTGGGCTGGGAATGAACACCAGGTATTAGCATAAATCTGTAGCTTTTTAAATATCTATTTTAAGAGATTTTCACTGAACATTAAGCTGTGAAGTTTGAACTTGAATTTGCCATTCTGCAAAATCTGATTTCTAGTGTGCTGGGTTTACAAGAATGCACAATCACAGAGAGTCTATTAACATTTTCCTTCTCCACAAATCCAGTGATAGATAGATATGCTTCAAAGCCTCATATGTTATAACTTGATCTGCTTTATATATGAGTAAGCATGTATCAGTATTTTATGCGGATTTTGAGATTTTATATCCAGGACAAGTTGAGAGGATCAATTTTTAGAGACAACTGCATACTGATATTCAAAATGAGTGCACTAACATTCCACCAGTCTACTAAGAATATTAATCAGAATCACTGATTGTCTAGAGCATGGCTTATAAACACGAGCACTCAGTTTTATTTCAAATTCTATTGCAATCTTAGCAATTGTTAGATAATGAATGTGTTGTATTCACATGTAAAAATGGGTAGAAAAACTGAAGGCAGAATGTCATAACTCAAAGTGTATGCCTTTCATACACATCTATATGCAATGTCATACATTTTCATGATTTAATTCCCTCATATATACACTAGCTTATACATCTTCAGAGAATATTACTGACATTAAATTGAATAGTGCCTCATTTATTTGGTGTTCATTTTTCTGCTGACTCACTAATTACTCAGGAACATTCCTCTCCTTGTGAGTGGGAATTACCTTAAGTATCTCCAGTAAATTTTGCCTCCTTTTTCAGCTTCCTGGATATCCCCAAGTCCTCCTGAATTGTAGACATAGAAATACCAGGACTCAGTTGAGTAATACATACAAATAGATTTTTGTTTAGATTTATGATATAATGTGTCCATGTCTGATCTATTTTTAAAAATATTTTCATATTCTTTTTAACGAAACATCACTAATGAGCAACAAACAATATTCTGACAGCATGAGTGACAAAAAGATTTCATCCTAACCAATTGCAGCCATGTTCCTAAAGATTTCACCCATCACATCTCTGTAGAGGTTCTTTTGGGATGGACTCAGCAAACTCCACTCCTCATTGCTGAAGTTCACAACCACATCCTCAAAGGTCACCACCTCCTAAAGGATCATACATGTATTTCTCAAAGGAAGGTTGAGACCCCAGGTTTGGGATATCTTAAATTCTCTCCTACAAATCTGAATCAAAAGCAAAGTGCGGTGGTGCATATCTATAATCCCAGCACTCAAAAGGCAGAGACAGGAAAGCATCAGTGAGGTCAGGGCAATTCTAGGCTCCATAGGGTGTTCAAATCCACCTGATATACATACAGAAAGCTTGTCTCAATAAAGCAAAACTAAACTAAACAAATAAAGCCAAACAAAACAGCTGAATGAAAACTGATTTGTTCAAATTTAAATCCATGTCTTGTCATTAATTTTCTGTCTATACACATTTTTGAAGACAGCAAATTTGATGCTAGATTGAAACTCACTGCTAATGTAACAGCCAAATAGGAGCACTGATTCTTGTGCTGAGTCATGGCAAGATTCCCTGTGCACTTTCTCTAAAGCAGAGCTCACAGTGAGAAGCCTGCAGGACCAGCAACCACAAAGCACAGAAGCAGATAAATATCTCATCAATTGACTGGGAAGCTAAGTAAGCACCTCCACTCCATGGTCAGTGGTGGTGGTTTGGCAGACTGCAGCCCTTCTAGGGGGAAAACCAACAGCAGCTCCTGAGATCCATGCCATGCTGGAATTTAGGACACTATGAAGCCAAGCAAGCACCACTTCTCCCTGGTAAGTGGTGGCAGTCTGGCAGACTGCGGCCCTTTCATGGGGAGAACCAGCAGCAACTTCTGAGATCCATGCCATGTTGGAACTTAGGACACTGGGAAGCCAAGCAAGTACCTCACCTCCCTGGTGAGCAGTGGCAGTATGGAAAACTGCAGCCCTTCCAGGGGGATAACCAGTAGTAGCTCCTAAGATCTGTGATATGTTGGAACTTAGGACGCTGTGAAACCAAACAACCAGCCTGTCTCCCTAATGAGCAATAGTGAACCTACTGATGCACCACCTAGAATCAAACATCCCACTTCCCTACCCCTCTTCTCCTGTCACCTACTGATGCACCACCTAGAATCAAACATCCCACTTCCCTACCCCTCTTCTCCTGAAAAATTTCTATTTAGGGCTTCTTATTTACACCACTTAGATATGTTCATTGTAGAGAATTTCCATGTTTAAACTGTCTATTAACACCCAAGCTACTAAACCAGCTCTTAATTCAGAGATGACACCTCTATTCCTTTCCATTCAGAAGGATATCACATGTATATATCCATGTAAATGCCTAAATTTTGGCATTTTTTGATGAGAATTTAACAGGTAGCCCTTTCTGGAATGGGCTAATGGGAACCAGAAATCTGAGTGCCTCCTGGGAAGTAGACCATAGCAAATAAGGGGGACTTCCTTCTACTATCTCTTTGAAGGAAAATGTTTTTATTATTGTTTCACTCTATTCTAATTAATGGTACTGCTCAATTCAATATTGTTTTGATAAGTTCTATAATGTTCTGTATTTCATCTCATTTTGATATATGTGATTAAAGAACAACTATTACAAAGATAACAAAATATACTGTGATACCTATTACTGTTATCCCAGTAACCTGTTGTGAAGTTGTGTACCAATTTCACTGTATGATCTTAGTTGACCTTATGCTGCCTTGTTCTATTGTATTTTACCAATTTCAAAATTAAATAAAAAATCTCATCAATCACTTTGATATACTACAGATGATGTCTCTTCAAATCTCATTTAGGCCAATGAGTACTTTGTTCTTAATATACTTAAGCAGCATTTTGAAACATGAATTTGGATTCATAGAACAAAACATAAATAACATCAAATATGGTATATAAATAATAACTCAAGTGTTAGGGAAAAACAGCTGTATTTTAAAAATATGTATATAAAATGAAACCAGGCCCAAGCTGTAAATTATACCTCACTGTCACCAAGTGATCACTTTCAAGTCAAATATAAGAAATATATCTTGGGATGCTGGTGAAGGATTTCTTCCTTGAATTTTGGGCTATCCTAAGTTACAGAGCTGTCTAAAATAGACAAACCCTGATTGAGACACCGAACAGACAAAGTGAAGCTTAAAAAGAGACTGCATAAGACACCTTTGGTTTGTTTTTAAAAAGTTATAGCCATACAATACTGAAAAATTCCAACAATATTCAACACTTTCTGAGAAACAATGTGGATCTCTTCCATACTACACAGAAAACACTTTCATAGTTGGGTATTGAGCTCAGTGGCATGAAGGACTGCCTGGAAAGCATAGGTCATGCGTTCGATCCTTGGTACAAAAAAATTGAAAATTTCACCTTCATGACACTGGGACATAATTAGAGATAATCAAATTAGATCTCAAGTATGGAATACAAAAATCATGTGTTGACAGGGATGTGGAGTACTGATTGTTGACAGCGCTGGTGTTGATCACCTCAATGAAGCAATCAGAACTTTACTTCATAATTACTCTAAGAACTACTTGACTTTCAGTGAAGACGCTCTCTGTTGTATGTCCTGCTATTTGCTGCCTGCATCCTGTCAGTCACTTCCACATCTTTTCCACACTCCTCTGATCCATCCAAACAGAAAACACTTCATGCCTAAGTATTGATATCACTGCAAAATTTCTATTTAGGGCTTCTCATTTACACCACTTAGATATGTTCATTGTAGAGAATTTCCATATTTAAACTGTCTATTAACACCCAAGCTACTAAACCAGCTCTTAATTCAGAGATGACACCTCTATTCCTTTCCATTCAGAAGGATATCACGTGTATATGTCCATGCAAATGCCTAAATTTTGGCATTTTTCGATGAGAATTTAACAGGTAGCCCTTCCTGCAATTTGTCCTTCACACATTTTTACCCTGTCCTTGATAATACTTTTATATTTGCTTCATTTTTCTCAGACTTCAAAACTCTATGGCTGTTTTCACAAACGTAGTCTGTGAGCATACCTAAATAAGTATGTTCAGAAATTATTTTGCAATGTTCAAGAATACACAGGTGTTCACCAATTGTTTAGGAAGCCTTTCTCCACTGAGGCACACTACTACATATCTCTGAATTCTCAGGACCTTTGTCACTACCTGTCATGAGGAAGAAATAGGAGAACATACTATAAATTTAGGAGATCACTATAAATACAAAAAAGCCCAAGTTTAAGTTGAGCCATTGTGGCTATGAGGCCCTGCATTAAATACATTAATAAACTCTAGACATTCCAGATCTGCTACTCTGTGGAAAGAGGGCATAGACCTAGCTCATTACTGCTCTACAAGCTACAAAAGCATCATAGTCAGGGTCTTCCCAAGCTCCTCCCAATGCCTAAGATGGTGGACTTACCAGGCTAGCAGTGAATTTCAAAGATGATACTTGAGTCTGCTGCTGTCATAGTGAAGCCAGGGTCCTGGCAACCCCAAATTACCCTTGCCAATGGCAAGAGGCAAAAGGGATAGTGAATGTCCCATGGCCAAAGCTTGAGGACCTCAGGAGCTGAAGCTAACTAAATACCTGAGGCTACAGACACCAGAACTACTCCTAAACACTTGTAACTGGTTTTGCCCAATCCATCCTATTTCTGGGCTCCTATCCACAACCTCACTATTCCATGGATCCAGGATCTCTCAGAATCTTTGCTAATCAGGCCACAGGACATCAAAAGTATTAAATGAGATTCAGCAAACATTTTGCTACCACTGTTGTACTCAGAACAGGTAAATCATGCTGAGACACCAGAACAGACAGAAGTCACAGCCAGAAGTCACAGCCAGCAATGGCCCACCTCACTGGACAGTTCATATAGCCTGCCCCTTTATCACTGATTGACTCCTGCTCTATTGCCGTCCTTCTGAGTCAAGAATAAACAGAGAAAGGAACCCCTCCCTGCAAGAGAGGATCTCAAATGATAGACTGTAGTGCAGAGACTTCTGGAGCTGCCATTCTTCTACAGTGGTGAACTCAGCTCGACAGAGGAGTGTTTGTATTGAAGAGCTTTACCTCAGACTTTTAATTTTTAAATCTATTTTATTTCAAGAAAAAAAGAACACATCAACTAAAAGTAAATTTCAAAACGTGTCAATCAGGGGGCAACAAAGGTATATACATTGCACATTGTCATCCCCAGATCTTTCACCCAGTGCACAAGACATCGGTACTCAATTTTCCAAACAGTACTGTTACAGGGACGTGAGTTACTTAAATACTATTGTCATGAGACTTGGCCATGCAGGAGACCAGATACCTTGCAACTATGGGGAATACTGACACCTCATGCTATGGGCCAAGGCTCAAGACAAATGATAAGCAAATTCATCCATATCCTAAGGATTGATACTCTAAATAGTTCCCTAGCACTCTGAGGAAGTCAGGAGTCACCATTTAAAGAAATGTATCCTTATCCTAAAGACTGACATTCTAAATAGTTCCTATCATCCTGAGGAACTCAGGAGTCACCCTCCCAAACCCCTAAGGGAAGAGTCACAGCTGCCTAAGAATGCCTGCTTTCTATGTGACTCCCTTCCCCCTTTGTTACCAATTTAATCAACTTTACCTGAACTTATAATCTTATTGGCTACCATTACTCTGTCCCATCTTATGCCCATCTGCATTGTGAGTTCTTAGTTTTCCCCACCTTAAACTCACTTCACCACATGAGTTTACGCTATAAAGGTCCCTAGAATGGACAGTGTTTGGCAACCTGCTCAGGATACCTTCTCTCTCTCAGGCAGCTTTTTTTCTCTCAATAAGTATATTCTTCTCTTAATCTCTGTTGTTCCTAAAATTCATTCTTGGACTTTACAGGACAAAAACCTAATATCAGACATAGTAGACAGGGAGATTCATTCCAGTATATCAATATCAGTATAAACTTTTCTCTTTCTTGAAGTCAGAGAAATCCAGTAGTTTGTATCACACATTGTTGATCTCACCATGCCATGGATATTTGCATTGAAGTCTTTTATCCCTGCCTTTAAGTGCTGCTTCTTTTTCTGAAACTGAACTGATCTGTAATTTTGGTTATGGTATT